CCGGCCACATGGGGCCCCCTCCCAATCCCCATGTGGCTGGGAGGCAGCATCTTCACTGAGGGGTGATGGCTCTCCCAGTCACATGGAGATCAGGTCCTGACCTGATCTTCATGTGGCTGGGATGCAGCAGTCCCAGCTGCCAGGACAGTTATACTGGCCATGTAGGGATTGGGTTGGGCTAGCATAGCTCCCCCACACCACATTGGGACTTAGCCAGGCAGCAGCAGGCCCCAGCAAATGCTCCTGTTTAGCATTTACACATGCACTACTGTGCAGCTGCTAATGCACTTTTAATCTAGTACCTGTATTTCCTGGTACTAGCAAATGGCACATTAGCCTAATTTACTGTGTATTAAGTCTTGTGCGTGTGTAGATGGTGGTGCTTTACTGAGCTTTAGTCTAATGCACAGTGGATGCATCTACACAAGATGCTAACTGCACAGTAGCCTAATAACACTGCGCAGTAGCATGCCAGGCAAAAACCTGCTAATACACTACTGTGTAGTAGTATTAGGCTATTGTGCAGTAAGCATCACTAACAAGCTGTGAGTCAGCGCTACCGCACAGTTATGAGTACTGCACATTGATTTAGTACTTGGTTATCCAAGAACTAAACTTAATGCACAGTAACTACAGCACATTTATTAAGGCATAGATGTGGCCAGTAAAGTATTTTGTGTAAATATGCCCCTTGTTTGTGACTTTAAGTGCATTTCAGAGTATTAGAAAACTGCTAATGCCTCTGCTTTCCTGTCTTGGTACAGTAGTTGTCATAATTTCCTTCCTCAAACTTGTAACTTTTGTGATAAAGGAGAAATGAAAGATTAGAAAGAAGTTAAAATACGTTTTTGCTCCGATCAATTTATTGTCATTGTGCACTTTACTGTACTATTCGGTATGTGCACTACACTGTGCTTTACTACAGTTCTTTTCTAGTAGTCAAGTATACTGGTCTAGAAGATGTAAAAACAGGACATTTTTCTTTTCCTTTTTTTCCTCTGGGAATTGAGCCCTTTAGTTCTGAAACACTTCCTGCTTAAATTCATAAATCAAGATTTTTCATTCACTGTACATCCTGACAAATAAAAGCTTTACAGTGAAGGCTTACTAGAGAAGGGTATTTTTATTGTAAAACTTGTATGATGCATAGGATTATACATTACTAATGTGAATTTTAATTTCTGCACTAGATTTTTTCAACAAATAAAATATGGAAGAATTAGAAAACATTGAATTTAGATAGAAGCCATGTAGGAGATAATTTGTACTTATACATTCTAATATCATAGTTTGTGATTATATATTTATACTTGTTCAAATACTTCATGCAGTCTTTCTACAACTTTAGATTTGCAAGTGTCCTCCTGTACCATGGTTCAAAGTAATCAGTCATTTTTATTAGAAGGAGACCATACAATGTACTTTTTAAAAATAAAGGATACTGCAGATAAGAGAAACTGGACCATCATAACCTGAAAACTGGATACACATAGAGATTATGAAAAGTAATACAAGATGCTACTTAAGCTTATAAGGAAAACTTTATATGGCTGTGAACTAAGCAGCAACTTTGCTGGCAACTGAACTATCAGAAAGTAGATGCACACATATGAAGTTAAGGATGTATATACATCTTCAAATTATTTCCTGACTTGCACACTTGACTATGCAATCTTAGTATTCTCCTAATGAAGTCTTTCAGAAACATGATCCTATTGACTTTAGTAGGATGTGTTCCATTATTTGTGGATAAGAATGGCAACAGCACAAGATATTCATTAGAATGATTAGGCTGTTTAGAGAACTGTAGTTTAAGCTCTGCTGACTCCTTATCATTTAAAAACAAACAAACAAACCAACCCTGAAAGGTTAAATATTTTTGGTTAGGTGTACAGCATAGCATTTGACCACGTAAGAATTAATTGGATTAATTTTCTACATTGTCTTCCAATTAAGATATGATACTCTCAGTGTACTCTGGGGGATAATCTCCCTCGCACTATTTCCTTTAAAGTGCAAATATAATTTAATAAACAAATTTGTGGTTTGTAGTTGGTTAGGGCTTGAATATCTATTTTTGTCAGTATTGTTTGGTAGGGTGGTGTAGTCAATGCTCCCTCAAACGTTGAGACACACTCTTTCTGCCTGAAACTGAAGAGTGACCATGATCTACAATGGAAGTCATACCTTACTTGGACATGTTCATGAAGCCAGCTCCTTTGCCCATAGGCTAAGAACCTCCATAGAACAGCTGCAGTTCTATGGAAGTGCCATTTTAAATTAGCTTTCAGGTCTTCTCCATAGTGCTGGACTATGCTAGGGAGGCACTACTGTGAAAATCCACTCTACAAACCCCAAGTACTACTGTCAGGTTAAGGTCTAGTTTTTGGCACTCAGGGTGGGCAGTGCGTTTTTATAGTGCTGTTCCTTAATACGCAGCCTGACATGCTCAGTGTGTTCTATTAGTAATCTGACAGGCAGTTTAAACCTTAATTTAGTCACTATATCATATCTGAGTTTACCAAAAGTCCAGTAAAGGTCCACCCCCACAAATAAAGCAGCTGTCTGCACTCACCATTTAATCAGCATATGCTGTACGAAATATTATGTTGCTGTAGTTGTTATCCAAAACCAAAAGAACACATAAAAGAAATATTATACTAGCTATTTTAGAATGATTAAAATAGGAAGCTTGCACCAAAGTCCTAGCTTGGAAAATTGTCAACTTTCTAAGGGTCGGTTAACAATTCCCCCCTCCTTTAATAGTAGTAGTTTTCTGCAAAGAAGAAAATGGAGGGAAAAGCTGCAGTATATATTTTCCTTTCCTTCCACAGCATTAACGTTGTGGCTTACCATGTTTTGCTACAGTGGAACATTAAATGGATGGCCATAATTCAAGGGATAGAAGAACTTAAAACAGGCAAAATACGTTTTTTCAAAACATTTTTACTTGCAAACTATTTGGAAGTAGTAACATTGCTTGCAGATGTGATTTTAGCCATTTTTTAATCATTTACTGCAGTGGTGCTCAACCTGTTTCCCCAGTGGGTTAGATGAACATTTCTCAGTCTATCCATGGGCCAGATCCAGCTGGTGGTCTCAATCTGGTGCCTGGGGTGGGCATGGTGGGCACTATCTTGCCACACAGAGGGAGGTGAGGGGCAACCCACCCCTGCAGGAGAAGGGGGAGTGGCTAGGCCATGCAGGTAGGGAAGTGGGTGTGGGTCAGCTCCAGTCAACCACACAGGCCTTGCGGTTTGGGAATTTAGCAGAGGGAAGGGTGGCCATGTTAATTGCCATTGCTCCCCGGGTGCCAAATTTCCTAACCTGTAGGGAAGCCTGTGGGCTGCATTTGGTCTGCAGGCTGGAGGTTGAGCACCCCTGATCTACTGCTCTTGGATTCATAAAATACTGATTACAGTTGCACATGCCTGACTTGGTCAAATAAAGTCCTTTTTTTTAGTAGATCTCTACCAAATGGTAATCGCAACCATCTGAAAAGCAAAAGCCCGTAAAAATATGACACCCATTTATCCTCACTGATGTCTTAACCCTTCTGAGACATGAAGCTAATTAGACTCAAAGATAAATTATCTTCCTGGCTTGTTTTTGTTTGTCAAAGGAAACTGTACAATATCAGCAAAAGGTGTATTTTGTAACTGTTAGAAATCATTGTAAAATATATACAACTGGCAATTTTATTAGCAAATACTTTGCTGATCGATATACATAATCAACAAAACTGGCAGTCCTCCCCTTTTCCTCAAATGTACTGAAGTATCGTATTTAAGACTTATTTTTAGTTAATGCTATAGTACATTTACAAATACATTATCCAGTATAAAGCAATTAAAAATATGCTTTTCAAACTAAAAGTGTACAATTCTGATTATACTCATCGTTAATCATGTTTGTTCCTTTACTTGCTAAATAGCAAAATTCAGTAACTTGCTATGGATCTCAAGATGTGTCAAGTTAGCCTGGATCTACCGCATTAAGTACTAAATGTATGTATTGTTTTTTAGGTCAAGCCAAGACTTACTACAGCTTTGTGTTATGAGCAGAAATCTTGTGTGACTTACAAAGCCAACACACCAATTTTAAATGAAAGTTCATTTGAAGAGGACTGGAATACTCAGAATAACTTAATAAAAAATCAAATCAAAGAAATAGAAAAGTTTTTGGATATGGAAAGGCTCTGCCGGTCTCGTAAGAGGAAATATGAAGAAAGTACAGATGCAGTGACAGAAGACAAAACAGATATCTAATTCACTTGTCTGAATATGCTTAAAATATGTGAATCAGATTTGTAGAGGTCTGCCATTGGAAGTACAGAACTACATATTTTATTCTTTGTGTAAATCTAAGTTGCAGATGCTCCAAAGTTTTTTGTCGTCTGGATGTAATCCTATTAGAATGGATTCCCAATATTTGTGCAACCAAAGTCCTTGTGATAGGTTGTAAAGCTGTTGCTAGAAGTTAAAACATTGATAAGCAGTTTTATTTACAGCTGTTAACTGTAATTGGCAGTATATATACAGCTCAAATCCTGAAAAATCTTAGCTGTAGGACTTCCTTGTTTCTGAAAGCATAACAATCAAACGAGAGAGACAAACAGGCTTCAGAATGAATTGGTTCCCTTGGCTTTTTAGGATAAACAACATCACAAACTGCCAGAAGAACAATGAAGTATGCTACTCGTATGCATCAGGTATTTTAATAGAGAGCCAACTACGATGGATGCCAATTCTTAGAGTAAATATTGTCTTTTAGAAGTGTATTGCATATGTACATATATATGAGGTATCAATAGTTACTTCTACAGGGTAAATTTTTCTTTATCCAACTGATTTTCATTTCTCAGTTTTGGCAGAAGTTAAGTTTCTGTATCCCCTATAATTTTTTGCATCATCACCATCATCCTTTTGCTTCTTTCTTCCCTTTCCTACTACAATCAAACAGGGAAAGGATGACCACTGACATAACCAACAAGAACTAAATGTACTATTTTGTGCGCTGTCCATTATTATTATTATTAATACAAACTGTGTAAGTCAACTTAGGAGGTTTTCCTATTTTAATTTTATTTTTTTCTGTAGCTCGTCGTCTTTCAAAGTCAAATTTCTTAAAACCAAATGCAGACATTTGACACAGAAAAGTTCACAACTGTCAAAATAAATTTTTGAATGCTTTACTACGATTGGGAAATTTATTCAAAGTGAATAAAAACAAAAAAAATCAGGTATCAGAAAGACTGAGGAGACTGTTCTTCACTTGATTCAAATTTTGTTTCCAGGTGTTAAGTGTGTCATACAACTGTTGCCACTGCTGCTTCCCAAAAGTCCTGTGTGTGCTGTGACTATAGAAGTAAAACAAAATTTTAAAAGGATTAACAAACACCATCTTTGCCAGCAATGCCCTTCTAACATTTTTGTTTGGCAAATATCTAACTAAACACCAGGGTAAACAGAGGTAAAAAACTAATTGTCAATATATAAATTGAGCATGATAACATCTCTTTTATCGCTCTCTCAAAAGCTTCACCGTACCCATTACAGACTTCTGTAGTCTTCCCCAAGTATTTAAAGCAACAGAAGTCATTAGTATTCTTGTCACTGATAGGTCATTAAATGAAATGTGCTGGAAAATAGGACTCTTTCATTAAATAAGCTAATCACATTCAGTCTGAGCTTTAATAAAATTATGATAAATAGCAACTATTTAACTACAGGCAACTGATAGGAACAATACCTTGCTTCTAGTTAAAATATTAAACATATATTAAATGAAATAATAAAATACTAAACTGTTCTGCAAAATGCTGCAAAGAATTAAGTCTTACCTGACTACTACTTTCCTCTGTGTCTGATCAATTTTGCAGTATACCATCTTTGTCTTAACAGCTGAAAAAAGCAGACTTGTTTTTTGAATATTTTTCCAAAAAGCAAAGGATATTAAATAGCATAAGAATCTTTAAATGAAAATATACGCTAGTAATAACTTGCTTCATGCTATTTAGCTATTGGTTACAACAATCGGGTAGGCAGAACAGCAATGACGTAACAAGATAAAAGCCAAGCATAAATCTTATGCTTTGGTGCCAATCTATTAAAGCAATATCCTGTGCATTTTTATGAACTCCTCTCCCCTACAAAACACATCCTGTTTTAATGACAGCAAGCAAAAACAGCTGACAAATTAAACTTGCAAACAATTTATTAGTTCCATAAAGGATTACTTGAAATACAGTTCCCATCATTGAAAACAAAACAGTACTTAAAAGCCAACAGTAGGGCCATATCTTTAAACATGAAGTTTTACAAATTAATTTTAAAATAAATCAGAAGTGAAAATTTGGGATTCTTTAAATGCATGGCTGGTCTCACCAACCTCATATTGCTCATGTTTTAATATGTTACAAAGCTGTGTAAAATCTGGCTAAATATTTGCATTATTAAAGTTATATATGCCTTTATAGTTTTTGAGGTTTAATTCCCACCAATGTAATATTCAAATTACTTTTGTCCTAACAATAAGACATTAATTTTAGAACAAAAACAAATTTCAGGGAAAAGGCCCTGATGTAAAATAGAGTGGAATACCAATGCTTACCATCAATAACAAATGCTTCTACATCCTCAGCCCCAATCTGAAGTTCCTGTTGCATTGTGTCAAATGAAATTTCTTTGTTTTCCACTGCCATCCCCATAAAAGTAAGTAATCTCATTTTTGCCATATTCTGTTCGTGCAACAAACCTGAACAACAGAACATCTATGAAGTATAATGCATGCTCATAAAGTATTAACAAGTTAAACTATTTTCCATGTTCTTTCTACTACATATGCCTCAGAATTATTTCAAATTCACTTTACATCATGTGCATCAATGTTTCTCATCTGGCTCTATCAACATTTTTATAAGGTAAAATGTTCTTTTTATTTTTGCAGAATATCTTAAATATTTTAGTAATGTGCAATTTATTCAGATATTTCTGAAACCTGAAAGTGCACAAAAATTGCATGAAAATGCAGAATATTATCTAGACCTAGGAGTCTGTTGAACAAGTGAGAATAAACAGTTTATATCTCCTTGAAATTTAAGGATGTAAAGGTGGCCCCAAGCAATTATATCAGTGTCCCCCAAAATGAAGGCAGGACATCTTTAGAGCAAGGCAATACACATTTAAGTGGACTACTAAGCAGAAGAACAGAATAATGGAGCAAGAAAACACAACTGACTGATGAAGACCAAGTTTTTCCCACTACCATATGATCCTGAACTCTTGCCCCCTTATTTTGTCTATCTACACCCATACCACTGTGGCTGTGGTAGACTGCTCCTTGAAAGCAAATTCTCCCAACAATAACCTTTACAGAGTACAGCTGTTTCCTCCAAAAAGGAAGTATTTCTATTACCAACAGTAACAGGGTCACCTGAAATAATACCATTTATGTGCAGAAATGATGGAGAAAAGGGAATCATCTACCCATCTTTTATAGCCCTCATCATTACACCCTCTCAATCTTCAGTACATTTCTCCTTAGAGCACCCAAGGGAGATAGGAAAGAGCTGTTATTCTCCACTTTACACACTGAGAGGCAGGTCATCTCTCTAAGATTCTCCACAGTGTAAGTCTGGCAGAGAATGAAACTGAACTATGGTCTCATGCAGAACAGGTCAAAATCCTCAAAAGTACTAAGAACTAGCCTAGACTAGAGTGGTCTCCCCCAACTATCTCACCTTATTTGGATACTTATTTGTAATTTTTTGTTGTGTTGTGTTTAAGATAAAAAGCTAGAATTGACATAAGAAGTTCCATTAAAAATTAACTGGAATTGCTTTGTTCCAGTAGGACAACATGGATAACAACACTACTAAGGAAATATTCAGGTTTGGAATTTATAACAATCATACACTAAAAGAAGATCAGGGAAGCACATTAGTACAGGACATGTTGTGCTAATTAGCAATAATTATGATGCAGGCTCTATATCTGGCACAGATTCAACAGAAATGTGATCATCATAACTCAAATGAATGAGGAGCACCAGCAACTGTAGCTAACTGGGTTTAATGGAAATCTACAAGCATCAAAAAATCAATTAGTGCACATTAACCCTAATTAACAAATGCAAATGAGATGCTGATTAACTTTCTGAAGCAAGAAGGTTGCTGATAACACCAGATTAAAATGTGGACATGTTAGGGCGATTCAGTTGACACAAGATAATGCTACTGGTGGCCTAAGTTGTCAGCATCAATAACGCAACAAATTGTAACAATCTGATGCCACCTGTAGGAGCCTTTATTCAATAGCTTTTGTAGAATAATTTGATTTTTATTTAGTCTTGATCTGAAAGAGCAGAACTAAAGCAAATCCTTTATTAGCAGTTATTTTAAACCTACTGTTAAAATATTGTTAAAAAATATATTTATAGAATTTTCAAAATACTTGAAAGCAGAAACAAGAGTTTTTTTGTTTTGCTTTAAATGCTTTTCAGAGGAATATGTTTAAAATACTATCCTTTCAAGTTTTGCTAGGAATTTTCATATACCTTTCATTATGACCCTACATCTTTTTTTATACCAACCACCAGTTTTAAAAAGTTTTAGATTAAATTTGACCAGAAATACTTGTTCACATTGCAATCTAACACTGATTTAGTATCCTAGCAAATGCTTTTTGAGACATTCTTTATACAATTTTATGACAGTTATTAAGAGAGCAAGAAGGGAGAAAACTTAAAAATCTGAAACAGGTTTTACTATTAAAATATTTTAATTACACATGAGTTCTATTATGGAACAGGATATGCTTAACATACCCCAAATCCCCACGTTCGTAGATTTCACTTTAAAAAACAAAGTTTAATAGAGTAAAAATGAAACAAGAATAATGCTGGTCATATTAATGGTTAAGCATAATATGGAGTTAACGTGGAACATCAGCTGTTAATTAATGTTCTCCATTTAATCAAACAACACCCTCAAAACTGCATATTTGGCAATTATGTCTAGAAACAGACAAGCAGCATTTATTGTGAAAGTTGCCTGGAAGTAACAAAATAGGTTTTTTTGCCCCACTGAAGTAATCACTATGATTTTGCAATGTTTCAAATATGCATGCAAAAAGCTATGTCCTACCCTACATACAAATTATAGCTCTCCAACGGCAAGTTCTTTTGTCCACAAAAAACCACTGATGTTTCCAGTCACATCATTTTACTTTGAATACCTAAAGTAGCAGTTCCTTAAAATCCTTGATATATTTATTCTGAAAATCATATCGCAATCCTTTAAAGTCAAATGACAAGTGTTAAAGACTGCATTAAACTTGTTTTGTTTCACAAAACTATAACACTGTTTTCTCAAATACATTCATTCAATAATTCAAGTGTCATTTCAAAATCAAAGTTATAAAAAAGTCTATTTTTTATGGAAACATTTATTCATTACCAATATGTCAAAACTTAATACAGTAATAAAAAAATCTGCATCATTGAGCAATTTCTGCATTGTCACTGACCCCTGTCCTAAAAAGCTGCAATATAGAAAACGTAATTTTAATGCATTCAATAGCTTATGAACCAGTGCTCCTTTGAAACAGTCAATTACACATCAATGGGGGAGTGTCAAAGTGTTAATTACTACTCCTTTTTTCCACAGTGTGTAAATAAAGAGGGTGCTGACATTAAAATTCCATCACACAGCTTCATGCCATGAAACAAATTAACTGGGACAGAATATGGTTTGCTAGGTCTAATGCACCAGCAAAGCATTAAGCATACACAAAAATATTTGCATCTACTTTATCTTATTGTCTTCACCCTTGTTATAGAGCTATTTGGTAGAGTTCAATCATTTAAGCAATAAAAGTGAAAACAGAAGAAGAACTCTTTTCTTTGGGTTA